AGCTCTATGTGGAACTAAATAAATTCAATTAACAAGGACTTACTTTTCTTTTGGGTCCCAAAGGTGTCCTCATGGTCGTTGTACATTCTGTCTTCATCGTACTCGTACACCTTAAAACTGTCGAAGGAATACAGTTTGACGACTTTCCGATCGCTTCTCACTCGAAAAAAGTTAAAACTTTAACGACACGCGTATTTTCGATAAACGAACTTTAAATATTTCGCAACAGTTTTTAAATAAACAACTTGAACGTAAGTTATTGTTGTCACGATCCTAGACAATTCGATAATCGGAAGCGATGTTACGCGAGTAGCATTGTGTATCCGAACAATGGATTTTGGTCGAGATACGTTTCGTTTCGAGTAGGAATTTTCAAGGCGCGCGATATTTGGTTAGTGAGGCGGTAGCGCTGTTGGGTGACCGCGTGTCGTCTGGCCGGGTTCAGTCTCCCGACTCGCCGCGCCGGCGCCTGGAATTGTGTCAGACGGAGCACCCCGGCCTTTCATGAATACACCTCGCTACGAGCCTGACGCATCAATACATTCGTTACTGTATGCAAGCGTAATTGCTGCTATGCTTTTTCTTGGATAGCAAAGGTTGCTACATTCATTATACCAGTTCAAATAATTAAAGTATAAAAAAGTTTATTGTTATAAATTAATATTAAAAAGACTATGAAAACAGAAAAAAAATTGGGATATAGTGACATTTTTCGAGTTGATACCTATATGCAAATAAATCATTGCAATTTCACGGGTTGAACTAACTCAATTAATTCGCCGTACGACGCCAGGTGCACAATTAAATCGAACAATTGTGATTTGCAAAGCACTTATTCCGCGCAGGCACTACCATTGCACTACAAATATTAAAGAGACCTTTGTTTATTTGTAAACTTAGCTTCATAATACCTATTGATAAATATTAAATACATATTAGTTAAAATAATTGGTCTGTAATTTAAGAAACATGCTCTAAATTATTGTTTATGGTATATACTGTATATTTATGTATATAGGTAAATTATATTCATCGTTCGTTTTAATGTGTTTTGAATATATATATATATATATATATATATATATATATATATATATATATATATATATATATATATATTTAAATCATTTACTTTCTTGTCGTTTATTGTGTAACCATTGTTATATTTAAGCTTAAGTAATATAATTGTTTTTGTACTAAATCACTGTAAAATATAAGGACATGCAACGATGTTAACTTATAACTTCTTATTTGACAAAGTCGAAGTCCTTCACTAGTCATTTATAAATAAGGCGTTGCTTTACCGAAAATTCCTATATACTGAAATAAATATGACAATTGTGAATTGATGAAAGATTAAATGGAAATAAGCCTTTATTTACATTATCCTAGTCGATACTTCATATAATATGTATGTATATATATTATATATATTATTAATTTCATTTGTATTACATATATAAAGAAACCGGGATAGAACGTAACCTTTATCGAGTTTCATCGACCTCTGACATTTAGGAGAGCATTACAGGCCAGCAACCTGGGACGTTTCTAAGTAGGACAAACCCGTGCTTACGTAGCGTCTGTTAAAGCTAGACGTCTAAGGGTCCACCCTCGCTTCCTGTTACGAGAGCTGTTCGGTCACAATGATATAAAATAAACATGTATATTTACATATATTTACTCTGTAATACTTCGTTATATGTACGAGTATGTATTGTATATACAAAGGAAATACTCGTATTTACTAGGTAGGTATATTTTGTTTACAACTTCTATGGAATAAGTAAATCGTAGAAACAATAATGTATTTTATGATCACTATTAATATGAAAGTAAACGTCTGAGAATATTTCGTAATTCAAAGTATCTACATATGAGAATATCTATTATATAATATAACGTATCCATGAATATATAGTATGTATGTATTTATAATCTGTACTAATATTATAGAGTTAAAGTTTGAGACGTTGTAGGGGGGACGATTTCTGGATCTATTGAACCGATTTAGATTAAATTTGGTAAGAAGATAGTTTGAGACCCCGGGAAGGACATAGGATACTTTTTATCTCGGAAATCACCCCTTAAGGGGATGAAAATGGGTATGAAAGTTTGTATTGGGAAGCAAGCTAGGGACGAACTCGAGCGAAGCGAGGATGAGTCGCTAGTACTTAATAAATACATTATTCATATGCATTAATATAACAAAGGTGAGCTCTAAATTCTCCTAAATGGGGTTATATCGAGAAATAGAAGTTTGTATGGAAGTTCGTCACTTTTAAAGCTAAATAAAATAGTATCAAAATAAAAGTAGTACCGTTGTTTTTTGAAACGTAATTCCTTGTGTTAAATATGCGATGTATGTTACATAAGTTAATCAAGGGATGAAAATTTGTATGACGACACGTCTAGTAGATTTATACAATTCAAACACACGCGTTTTGGGTTCAACATGATCGTTTCAGGTGGACGAGTAACAAAAAAAATGATAACTGTCAAATACACCGCTGACCATGCGAACTGATTCGTAGTCGGAGTCTGACACGAGGACTAAAATACAAGAGAAAATGCACTAAAGCTGTTTTAACAACCCTGTTTCATAATGATTTTATAACGATATAGCATAACGGTTTCATAACACAGAACGTAAGACGTTATTGCGATCGTATTTACTCTTCTTGAGGTACTTTAGCTTGTGGTATAAAGTTTCAACGTATGTAAAGAATGCATTTGCATATGAGAATAGAATATATATTTTGTTACAATATATCATTTTAAACTAAAAAGTTAGGGCTTTTTCAAAGTTAATACATATTTTATTTCTATATACATACATATGTATTAACCAAAATTAGATTTATTGTGGTCATTGTTGAGGTTTCTTTTACACTTGTCTTTTTCCTTAAACGTGTTTTAATAAAGTGTTACGTAACATAGTGAGTACATAATATATGAGTTTTTCATTATGAAGTTTTTGAAGATGAACAGTAATACAACAATTATCGATTTTACAGTTAAATATTTACAAGGAACAGCTGAGTAGCGTTTCAAGACAGTGAATCTGCGTGAACAGAAATAGTCTCGTAAACAAATTGTTGCGTGCCAGTTCATAAACTCGTGATTTTAAATGTAAACGTATTCAATATAGCGCAACATTTATTTATTTATTTATTTACATTTGTTTTTTTATTATTACTAGAAACAACAATACATTTTCAAGTGTTCCATTTTAATATCACTCTCGCTAAAGAGTCTCGAAACTGAAGATATCGATCTATCTTGTCCGAAATAGACGCGCCGTTCGTGAATTCATAGAACCTTGACCTACGAACTGAAACATCCAACTGAGTGTTTGATGTAAATGGTATCTACTGTGAACAATTATTTTACACTGCTTTCTCTTTGCAATTATTCTCTTATAGAATTTATCTGTAAATATGGCTTTACTTTCTCAAGAAATCAATGTGAAATGAATTGCAAAATGCTGCTTCTCTGAAAAAATAGTTCCGTGCAGTCACATAAATTCAAAACTTTGAATTGCAACTATTACCAATATTGAATTGATACTTGTCACATTATATACAATTTATATATTAGTACTAATTCATTTAAAGAAGTAAGAAAAGAGTCTTTAGAGATATAAACTTCACAAAAATATTTTAGAAGATTCTGTTTTATACATTATAAACCAACCAAAACAAACACCTTGCTTATAAGGGTCATTTCCTCAAATAGTTGAATATTCTCCAACTAAATAGATAACTTATATAAAAATACTTTTACTATCTTTTATACATAGATTCTTCTCAGGTGCTTCAATATTAAATACCTATTATGTATATCATTTTATAGAAATTGGAAACCCCCTCATCATTAATAATAAGAAGTGTAATATAACTAATCATAATATTGTTTATAACTTAATTTTTGCTCTACTAACTGTTGACACATTTTATCGTTTTTAGAAATACATATGACTTTCAAATAATATGAATTATTATGAATTTTGATTTACAATAAAATAATTCATAGTTAAAAACAATACATAAGTACTTAATTTTTGTCAAGCTCGACTTTATCGCGTGATATCTATTCGTAATTACATAAAATTAGTTAAGTTGATATTTCTGTAGCAAACAGTCAGAAAAATATTTTCAAGTTATCTTTTACAAAAGCAAATGTAAATTACGTTAATTATAAAAGTAATTGATCAAAAATTATAGGGATAGTCCGTTAAATTAGACCGCTATCTCTCATTATCAAAAATTAACGTTTTTTTATACCTACTTTAAGTAAATATCCTGAATATTGGTAAGATTATTATAAAGTAGTTGTAAGTACTTCATATGCTACATTCCATTGTTTACTTTTTTAATATCTAAATACTTAAACGTACATAACCAAAAACGTTAGTAAATAATTATAAATTGACAACTACAAACTTACCATCTTTGACATTCTTTGAAGACTGCGAGGATGACACTCCGGGTATTGTTTTATCACTCGCACAGTACATCGTATAAGTCTCCACAAAAATTATATTAATTAAATTTATTTAGTCTTGTACAATGTAGCATATTATTATCTTACAATCAATATGATAACACAATACATTCGCATATAATGCGAAACGCGTCGGCCATTCCACATTCCGATTGTAAATATGGCGTCATAGACAATAGACGTATAAGAAGACCACATTCATATTATAATATCAACATATACGGATAAATATTATATTTAAGTATTTATGAAGTCTACTTATTATGAAACTATGAAATATTATAAGTTTGATTTGATAGTTATGATGGTATTATAAATTCAATGATAAATCTTTTATTTTGTAAAAGTTTGTTTCAGTCACCACAGAACCTAATGTCAATGAAATTTGTCTATGGTCATGTATTTTTCAGTGTTTTCGGCAACAATGATTATGTTATCAGTGAATTTACTTTAATAATTAATTTGACAATATTATTTAAGACAGTATAGTAAAAATGATGCAACATCAATATTGGGTGACCAAGAAAACTGTTTTAAAGAGATTAGGAACCAAAGAAGACGAGTGCATCGTAGCTTCCGATGCTGAGCTTGATGCAAAATTGGAGTTGTTTCGATCAATATCAGATAGCTGTTTGCAATTACAGCGTGTTTTAGATCAGTATCAGGAGCGACTTTGTATTTTAGCCCAAGAAGAGAACGCTTTAGGCAAGTTTTTAAGAGACGCTGGTAAAAATGGTGATGCTGCAGGAAAACACATGGTATCAGCTGGCAAGGCAATTTCCTATTCAGGGCAGCAGCGTTTATCTGTAAGACCGCCACTGTTGAGACTTTATCACGAAGTAGAAACGTTTAGATGCCGGGCCGTTAAAGATATGCGAACAACAGTATCTGCGATGGAAAAAGCTCGCATCGAATATCGCGCAGCACTTAGCTGGATGAAATCAAGTAGTGCACAGCTAGACCCTGATACTGGACGTGGTTTAGATAATTTTCGTAAAGCGCAACGGCAAGTTCGAGAGAGTAAGAAAGTTTTTGACAAATTAACTCTTGATGTACTTCAGAAGGTATAAAAAATTACTCTATTATGTATTCGTAATGTAATATTGAAATATTTTTCATTAAAATAATGATTGACACTCCTCCACAGATTGATCTATTAGCAGCAGCAAGATGCAACATGTTCTCACATGTGTTAACGAACTATCAAAGCTCATTTATGAACTTTACAATTAAAACAGCCCAAACATTGCAAGCTACTGTGGACACTATGGCTGAAACACCACAATATGAATTTTGCATTTTAAAGAGTTTAGGAGAAATAGATCCTAATCAAGAGGAAGAGGCTGTCCCAGACAAAGATCAGATGTTATTCTTCCAAGTAAATATTAATTGATTATTATTATTTTAAATAAAAATAAAATTATTTGTACTACATATGTCTAGTAAAAATGTAGTTATTTATATCTATTTCATTTTTTCTAAGTATATTAATTGATTTCAAAACATTTTATAATATTTACAGGATGATTATAAAGATGAAAAACAGGATAAGCCTCAAACAGAAATAGAAGGTAAAGTTGAAACAGAAAAGCAACCGTCCAAAGAAAATAATAATGAAGAGCCATCAACATCAACTAATTTAATTGACACTGTAACTGATGAACCTGTGTCCGAAAGCAATGTCAATGAAGATTTGGCAGGATTGCTACTGGATAGTGATATGCCTGCTAATTTTGGATCTTTTATGCCTTCACAGCTATTACAGGTCTGTCGTATAATAATTTATTTTTTAAAAGTTTTAGTTAAAAATATTTATTTTTCTATTACAGTAATATGTATGTGAAAGTGTGTGAGTGAATGTATTTGTCACTTCTTCAAGTGTTATAGCTTAATTATTATTTACCAAATAAGCTACTTTTATTAACATTCCTACTACATGAGCAAAACTGTAGACAAAAGTTTATACAAGTATAAATATGCGTCTAATTGGCATATGGCTAGATTTGACAGTACCAAAATTAAAGGTATAAAAAATATGTTTAAAATACTACGAAAAGAATTTAAAAGTATACTAACCAAAATAGTACAGCTCTTGTTTGGCATGTTACTGATTGTAATAAAGTTTGTTTAATAAAAGGGAAGGCTCTTAATTCAGTAAAATGTTGTTTCATTTTTTTACAATTTGGGGTATATTTTTAAATGCCTACCTCAAGATAGTTTCACGTGTATTTCAAAATCAACTAAGTAAAGTTAATGTAACATATTTAGTTAAAAAATTAATATTACGTTATGTCAGCATTTTTTATAAAAATTCCAAATTATTTTTCAGAACTTAAATACAAGCTTACTGGAGGGATCGTTGCCACCAATACATTCCAGTGCCAAACCAAATCAGCCGATTTCAATGCAACCACAACCTGCTAAATCTGTTCCAAAGAAAGACGATAAGGCTGCCTGGTTCAAACTATTTGCCGAGTTAGATCCTCTTGCAAATCCAGATAGCTTACTGGGTTCTAATAACAATCAAAGTCATGCAGCTTAAACTTTGTAAAGCTAGTCCTCGATTTCTAATTTAAAATATGACGCATGGTATTTTAAAATATACAGCATGTATCAGATTTTATGTCATCAATGCATTGAAGGCCACTGTGAGTTATATAATTATATATTTAATTATTTAAAATAAACAATAGTTTTTAACAAAATAATTTGTGATACAGAAAATGAGCATAGTATTAAAGGACATCATATCTAAAAACTTTAAATTTGTTTTGTAATATTAAATCCTTAATTATTTTTTTCATTATATGATGATTTATTAGCTACTAGCGACTCACTCTCGCTTCGCTCGGGTTCGTCCCTAGCTTGATTCCCCATGCAAAATTTCACCCCCATTTTCACATCCTTAAGAGATGATTTCCTGGATAAAAAGTATCCTATGTCCTTACCAAGGACTCGAGCTATCTTCTTACCAAATTTCATCTAAATTGTTTCAGTAGATCCAGAGATTACCCTCCACAACATCACAAACACAAACTTTAACTCTATATAATATTAGTATACATGACACTAACAAACTTTGTTGTGTCTTGCATACATACTTACAAATATATTATGCTTTAATGTTTCTGTACCTAATATACCTAATATTACATTATATACTATACATATTATATTACTTTATACATGTTTATATGTATGTATTCAGAGCTTTTCAATGTCCCATTGCTGGGCATTGGCCTCCCATCAATACAAGGGAGATCAGGCCTTTGTACACCATGCTGGCCAAGTGCAGGTTGGCATTTCACATTTATACATATATAAATGAAGTATTGATGGAGGTAAAATTTAAGTTTTAGTCATAATAATGTTAAAATGTAGTAATAAATTGAATAAAACAAAGCCATTATTATTAGCATTGATTGAGAATGATTAAAAGTCATACCTTATATGTGAATAGATTTTAACTATAGTTTTTTAATTTTGGTCATTATGTTTTATAGTAGTTAAATGAACATAATGTTATGAGAACCTGACTGATTGGCATTACATAGGCCAAAGTTTGTGGATTCAAACCTCAAGTGTTTAGATTTGTTTCAAATATACATATGACTGACTTTTACTTTACTTATATGATTGACTTTATAACTGTAGATCTATTGCGTTTATTTGCAAAGAATTTTGTGGACAACGAATTTCAATGTTCAAATTATTATGTTATGTTAGCTATTGATTTCACCCGACATAGTGTCTAAATGTATAGTAAGCTTAAAGAAACAAATGAAATGAGTGGTCCTTGTGTATTCTTGTAAACATTTAAATCACATTCCTAGTCCTTACGTAAATGAATAAAAGAATAATGTTTTGATGGGACTGATCTTGTGATCTCCCATGATGTGCTAACAATAATATATTATATTGCCACAAAAGCATTTATTGCAAGTTAAGCAATTATTTTTGTGGCTTTCTTCCTTGGAACTTTTACATGTAAGGCCTATACTTCCACATAGTTTAAACAAATGCTACAATGTGTGTACAAGTGCTTGCAGTGTCACTTAATAATATAATATTATATGACTGTAACCTTAGTGATAAAGTTGATTTTTTGATTTCATAAACATTGAATGCCTCGGTGGTGTAGTGGCTAGCATGTACGGCTGCATATCTGGAGGTCCTGGGTTCGAGTCCCGGGTCGGGCCAAGTTTAGTTTTTAAGTCTTTCTGTTTAGTAAGCCTCAGTAATAGCCTGGAGTTGGGAAGTTGGAGGTGTTTCATCCCCGTGCCTTGGAGAGCACGTAAAGCCGTTGGTCCTGCGCCTTAACTCTCAAACTCTGGTCGTGTCGCGTAGTCGTCTCACCGGAGTATGAGAGTGACAGGAATAGAGAGTGCACGTTGTGTCTGCGCGTACACTTGTGCACTATAATATTTCCTGCGCAGTTGGCTAGTCTCAATGAGATTGAGCGCCGTGGCCGAAAAACGGTCAGGAGGACTTAATATTAAGTTGATTTCTTTGAATCATCTTTTTCAATAGAATGTTATGTACAAATATTTCGATGCACTTTTAAAGTTAAACAGGGTTACCTATTTATGTAATATTTTAGAATAACATTTTAATTTTGAAAAGTATATAGCTAAAGCAATGACCAAGTATCATTTTTGTTTTTATTATTTAAACACAATTTAATGTTCACTTAAATTGCATAAAATGTTGTTCCCAACTTATAATTACTTTGAATGTTACTTAAATGTTACAATTATTGTTTTTAATACATAAATATTTATAATTTATTCAATATCTTGTATCTATGTCATATGAATGAATTGTGAATACCTACAAAGTAACTGTTAATAACATTTAAATTTTGCAATAATATGAACAATTACAAAAAAAATACGAATACATTTGTTTTGGAAAATTTTACATTGAACTAACACTGAAAGTCAAAGGAAAAGAAAGTAAGAAATATTTAAAAATTGGATCATATTATTGCAGACAAAATATAGTTTATTTTTTAAATATTTCGTCGTTTTTGTTATAGGAATATATTCTTATATACGCTGCACGCCGAAATTTTGTACTGCCTGTAAAAATAATATAAATTTTATTTCTTAGTATAAAACCTAGTCATGTGAATCTGTTAAAAATTATTATTATACGCCAAAGATTTAAGTTAACATGTTATCCTCTTTAGTGTTTATGTTTTACTTACATTCCACGTGTAATCTTATATTTTAATCTATAAAATAAAAGTTTGTGTCCTTAAATGGCTTTTGATGTTTTATAAGTTATCGACATCTATACAAAGCATTTTAACAGTGCACTTCGTAAGACGTAAAATATATCAATTAATTATGAAAAAATACATTAGAAATGGAGAAGTTTCATGATTTTTTCTTGTTACCATAATGGTAAAGAATTTTTGCCTTTTTCTTTCGCCAGATGTCGCGATCACTATAGCCCTCAGTATATTGTAAAGCTCTTTAAGATAGATTTTTTTTTTTCATTTTAAATTTAATTAAAATGACAAATTATGCGGTGCCAGGATGCAAAGAAAATGGATATTATTTGTCCCCAAAAGAAAAAAACCTGTCGAAATTGTGGGCTAAAGCAATAAAATGACAAATATTGGCGAAATCACAATCTTTATATTTAAGGCTGTGTGGACATCATTTTGAACAAAATGATTTTAAAACTCTTAAATCGTTTACAGATGAATATTTTTTTTATTTTTTGTGCTTTCACTTTCACCCCCTAAACTCAATTTTCCTACCCGCAGAGGTATTAAAATTGAGTTTAGGGGATGATTGGCCCCTTGGATCGGTCTGTCTTCTTGTAAAAGGTTTTAAAATAGTTGTCTGGCGAACATATATAAAAATGGAGCATCAGAATTTACGTGAAGTTGGATTGGATTTGCGTGGTAAATGAAAGAATCAAGCGAGTACGCGATTGACCTTACGCAAACGCGGCGATTCGTTCGTTGTGTTCATGTTTTGTACAGTCGTCATCACTTCAGACTATACATTTATGTTGCAAAATCGCTCCTATTACAACCGAATAAGATGCCACAGTATTTAACTTAATCGCTGTCGTCCGTACTCCCGTCATAGCGTATCAACCGAATGACAGCGTTATAATATCCATAGGTACTAATATTATAAAATATGTGAAAGTATCTTTGTTTGTTTGTCCTTCTTTCACGTCGAAACGGAGTAACGGACTTGGGTAATTTCTTAGGTGAAGATAGTTCATAGTTGGAGGGCTGGAGAGTGGTATATACTACTTTTTACCGCGGAGGATTATCTCATTTCCACGGGAAAACACGTTATAATACAACCCAAAAAAATATATATGATCAGACTTACTTGAAACTTGGTATTAACGCTCTTCAATACAATTAAATAAATATATGTTTTAGCATTCTTCGAAATTTATCCCGTAAAATAGCGGATGAAATTTTGTATGAAATCTACCCCTTTAGTGTTTTTTGTAGTTTTAGCGTGAGCGAAGCCGCAGTTCTGCTAGTAATAATATAAATAAATAAATATACAAAATATAAATAATTATAATTGTCCCAATAAATAATTATTTAGATTCAGTACCATTTTTTTAATATTGTTGCGAAGCCGTGTCATTAAATTGGTACAAACAAAACAAATTATTCACTTCAGTTTTCATCCAGTTAACTCGAGTTACGTGAATTTCAACTCGAGTTAACTCGAGTTATATTTTTTCCGAGTTGGCACATCACTAGTGTGACTGTGTTTGACATTTGTCATTATTATACGTCAGTCGTCACCGTCCGGCGTCACACTCACTCGTCAGTTTCATAATTCATTGAGAACAAAAAGTCTCTTGTGAGATGTTAATCTCCTGCACAATCGAAATTTGTATATGAACAAGATTTAATATTGATTATATTATTTCTACAACTTACTTCTTAATCTTACCAAAATGTTGAATTCATGTAAGTATTTTTTAAATTATTACATGAATATTTACAAACTTACATATACATTATTATATATTTTTGTTTTAATATATTTTTCATTCGCAGTTATTCGCAGTTTTCTAAATATTGAAAATCCTCCAAATAAAGTACTTGAAGTACAGTCGGACAATTATATTTCAAGGCCTATACATTACAGGGATGATGCTATGTTGCTTTATGGACCGAAGTTACCACCCGAAGGTCGAAATGCTAAAGATAAATATTTTGAAATTGTTCTACACAAACCTTTTACAGAAAGCTTGCATCAGATGTATAGGTGCGTCATTGCTTATTTATTATTATGACATAGGTAATGTCTAAGTAAACTTTGACCATAACGGTATTTTAATTGTTTCTATTTTGTCCTCAGCTTGTTTCGATCTGAAAATCGCGAAACATGTGAGGAAAGATTCATTGTGTACAAAGAAAAAATACCACTTTATATTAAAATAACTAAAGAAGTAAGTATAAATGTTACTGAAAAATTTTTTTCATTGCGTAAACTTATTTCAAAATGATAACACAAATGTTAATCCCAGTAATACTAATATAATAATATCCTCCTGACCGATTCCGGCCACGGCGGCCAATCTCATTGAGACTAGCCAACTGCGCAGGAGATATTATAGAGCGAACAAGAGCACTCTCTATTGCTGTCACTCTCATACTCCGATGGGACGACTGCTCGACACGACCGGTGAGAGTTAAGGCGCAGGACCGACGGCTTTACGTGCTCTCTGAGGCACGGGGTTGAAACACCAGCAAGTCCTCAACTTCGGGCATCACCTGAGTCTTACTATAAAAAAAGACTGAATAACTAAAGTTATCCCGATTCGGGACTCAACCCCAGGACCTTCGGGTGGGAAGCCGTATGCTAGCCACTCTGAGCCCTCCGAGGCAGCTTAAAGTGCCCAGTAATAGTAGTTATGTAACCAATTCATTAATTGTAATTTTTGTAAATATTATCTTTGACCTATTAACATGGATAGTGATAAAAATGTTTATGTTAGAATTTTTCTCAACTGCTTATTTTCTAAAATATATAAAGACTATGGTTATCATATATTTTATTAGATATAATTTTCAAGATTATTATATTGATACTAAAATGTCCAAAATCAATTATATAATACATTTAAATTCTTCTGTTAATAGTAAAATATTATATTTTGTAATTTATTCATGTTAAAATAATTATTATTTGTTCAGTGCACAGTAGCAAGTTTGCAAAGGATTTGTGATGTATTAACAGAACACCAGTCATGGTCCTTGGCACATCTTATTGCACACTTTGGCCAGTCTGAGCTATTTAATGATCCAGATTTGCAGAGGCTTATAAATGATGTAGATTCCGCAACAGGAATGACTCCAATAATGGTATGTTACTTCAGTTATATATAATTCAATCATGTCGAATTTATAATTTGAATTTAAATGTTGTGCTAATAAGGGAAGAGTTAGAAAATTGCCAAAATTGTTAAAAGATGGCAATGTAATTACATTAATTAGCTGGTAACCCTGTTTCTTTTTTTTTTCTTCTCTCACACTCACTTGTCTTTTTCTTGTCTTGATGTGTATACTCAATGTAGTAGAAACTAAGTTTATTCAGGAAATATATAACGTTTTGAGTTGTAAAATACATGTTTTTTATTTAGTCACATCAGGTTATGGGCCCAGACACATATACCTCTGTGAATTAAATAAAAGCAGTGGTTGAATTACTGCACTCAGACTAACCGGAAAATTGAGGTTAGGAAGTCGCCATATTGTGCAGGAAGGCGGAACAAATAACGATGGAAATCAATCAAAACGTGAACGTGTTTAAACTGGAAGGTTCCAAGAACTGGAATATATGGAAATTTCAAATGAGAGTACTGTTACGCGGACAAGGTTGGCTGGATATAGTAGAAGGTCGTTGTATGAAACCTGAAGGAGCCAGTGAGAAAATAGCTTGGGAAAACAAGGATGCTAAGGCGCAGACTTTAATAGTTACTAGGATGACTGAAGATGTAATACTACATATCATTTCGTGTTCGACATCAGCGGAGATGTGGAGGAAGCTACAGAGTGTGTATGAACAGAAAACAGAAACGAGCATTCACATTGTACAACAAAAATTCTTTCAATATAAGTTCCTCTCCCTCGCTGGACACCGTCGTAGACGGTCGCGTTTACGTTAGCTTGGTTAATCTCAATACATGAAGTATATTATAAAATCGTGTCGAGTATATAATAGTGTGCGATTATACGGGAAGCCCATGCAACAAAAAGAGACAAACAGTTGCTCATGCGCTCGGCGACGCCCCGCCCACGAACGAGTGAAAGGTCTCCGTAGCGAAGTAGACAACAAGCTGCTCCTGCGCCTGACATCAAGCGAAACAGTCACTCAAGCCACGCCTGCTACCGTAAGCCCTGCCTATACTCTGTATCGCTTGCCGACGGCATCCGCATCATATAGGCCTACTTAAAACTCACCTGAGACTACGATTATTTATACCACATGCCGCTAAAACGAACTCCGCCGAAAAAATCTTCAATCGACTATAAAAAAATGGATCCACTAGATAAATCTGCCTCGGATTCTGAACTATCGTGTACCTACCTGGAGAAAACTCCACCGAACGCTATAACAACTCGGCAAAAGAGGAAGAGGGAGGAGGACTTCAAATATGAGTTGGAAGAGTTTAAAAGTGAGATAAAAACTATGATCACCTCTCTGTTTAATACACAAAAAACCGAATTGCAAAAAATTGTAAACACACAAAAAGAGGTCATGCAGTCGAATTCTAATATTGAGAAGTCATTAGAATTTATTTTAAACCAGAATAAAGAACTACAAGAAAAAATTACTCAATTAGAGTCCCAGTCTAAAGCAGACTGTGCTTACATAACAACTTTAGAAGCTAGAATTGAGGATCTACAAAGAGCAAATCGAAAGGCGAACTTCGAAATCAAAAACGTCCCAAGACTGAATACTGAAACCAAAGCAGACCTAGTACAAATGGTTTTGGACCTATCGACAAGTATTGGTGCCTCGTTTACAAAAAATGACATAAAAGACATATATCGAATACGGGCAAAAGACGAAAAAACACAAAACACTCCCATTATTGTGGAAACATCCTCAGTCTTGCTGAAAACTGAAATTCTTCAAATGTGTAAAGCATTTAATATAAAACATAAAACTAAACTATGTGCCAAGCATCTGGGTCATCGATCTTCTACTGAAACACCTATTTTTGTTTCCGAACACTTAACAGCCAAAGGATCAAGATTACATTTTCTTGCACGTGACCTAGTCAAAACCAAAAGCTACAAATACTGCTGGACTGCTTATGGAAAGATATACGTGCGAAAGGACGACAATTCACGCATCATAACTGTTACGAGTGAGGCGCAGATTCATCATTTACTTCAAAATTGACTAGAGGTGGATAAATTAACCTGTTTGTTTCTTTATTTAATTCTTTATTTAATTGTTATACACAAATATCTCGCCTATCTATATTTTACAACTGTTTCAGGTAAAAATATTTTGCTAATTATAACACAAATACGAGCGTACGCTATACACGCTATTATTTACACTAATATACACGTTCACCAACAGACATACTCTCAAACCTCCCATCACTCACTCACACACATCACACTTAATAACAAAAAAACAAAACTAAACACACTCTCACAAACATACATACATATTCTCACTTTGCCACAACTTACCCATATACTTCTTACTACGCTATTTACACTTTCACTTTGCATGATACTGCCCCATGGATAATAATATTATAAATAATTTAAATGAGATAGACGGTATAAACTTAACAAATCCCTTTCAATGTGAATCAGAAGACTTAGAAAATTATATAAAAATTAAAAAAGATGACCTTACTATTATTACTCAGAATATAAGGAGTGTTCACTGCAATTTCAATGAGCTACAAGTTTTCTTATCAAGTCTTAAGTTTGAAGTGGATATCATAATACTCACGGAATGTTGGCTTCACAATAACAAACCTATTCCTAACTTGGCTGGATACAACTATGTCTCTACATCTCAACATCTCAATCAAAATGATGGCGTAATAGCCTATGTGAAGACCTCTTTATCGATTAACTGCATAGAAATAAAACTTAATGACTCATCCTGCTTACAAATTGAAACTGATAATCTAACAATACTCGGTATATATCGGTCGCCAGCTAATCACAACGCAAACAGATTTATTGAATCCTTAGATGCACACCTTAATAGTCTAAATAAACAAAAAGATCTCGTAGTTTGTGGTGATATTAACATAAATATTATCCCAGAACTATCAACACAAACTCAAGATTATAATAACAGGGCAAACTATCTGGATATGCTAGCTTCTAACGGCCTTATTCCTGGACATCAACTCCCCACTAGACTGAATAGCTGCCTGGACCACTTCAACCTACGAGTCAACAAAAGCTATCCACCACCATGTGTAGTAGTTCTACACACATCTATCACAGACCATAGCACAGTCCTACTGGGGCTTCTTAATCAAAAACCCAATAAAGTATTTAAAAAAACAAAAAAAGTTGTTAACTTTGAAGAAGCACTAAAAACCCTAACTACAAAACATCTTCAGCAACTACTTTTCTGTAACAACCCCACTATTTTAATCGACCAATTAATTGACAAAATTAAACAATCACTTGACGAAAATACTAAAATGATTAACATTCCTAAAACTAAGCGCATCATCAAACCCTGGATAACCCCAGGTATACTGAGGTGTATTCGTAACCGAAATAAAATGCAAAAAAGGTACAAGGCCCAACCTCATAACGAGGAGTTAAAATTCACCTACAAAAGGTACAGAAATTTCTGCAACAATCTTATAAAAAAAGTCAAGAGAATTTATGACAGTGAGTTATTAGCTAACTCTTTAAACAATTCAAGACTATTTTGGAAAAACTTAAAAGTAGTTACAAATCAAACTAATAATAAAACGGATAACAGTAAGCTATTATATATCAAGCCGACTCCGGTGGAATCAATTAACTTCGTCAATAATTCTTTTGCAAATACTGGGAAGAAACTGGCAGAACAAATTAATAAGCCCCCAGACACAAATAATAAACTACAAGATCGCTATAATCAAACTTCCTCTTTTGTTCTTTTGGACACCACACCTGAAGAAGTCCATGCTGTACTCATGTCTCTGAAATCTCGCAGCGCCACAGGTCACGATGATATACCAGTTACCTTCCTCAAATATGCAAAAAACGAGATCATTCCTATTATCACACACTTTATTAACCTATGTTTTAATAATGGCACATTCCCACACTCACTAAAGCAAGCAGTAATTACACCAGTATACAAAAGTGGAGATAGACGACATGTTGATAACTATAGACCCATATCTGTTCTACCAGCCCTTTCAAAGATTGTTGAGAAATTAATAAATAAACAACTAATTAAATATTTCGACAAATACGATCTGCTTTCTTCAAAACAATTTGGCTTTAGACAAAGAAAATCTACCGAGGATGCAATAACTACAGTGAGCTCGCTCATTGTACATAAATTAGACAACGCCAGAAAAACTATTGGTGTTTTCTTAGATTTAAAAAAGGCGTTCGAAACTGTATCCATTCCCATTCTCGTGCAAAAATTAGAGCGACTTGGTGTTAGAGGAACACCACTAAAATTACTTAAAGACTACCTCACTGACAGAACACAAATAGTTAAAATTGATGACTACAAAAGCGACATTGCTAAAATCACATACGGGGTCCCACAAGGGAGTGTGTTAGGTCCAACATTATTTCTGGCTTACATAAACGGATTATGTAACTTAAAACTTCGAAATGCCCAAATAATTTCATACGCGGACGATACTGTTATCTTATTTGATGGCAAATCTTGGGAAGAAGTTAGACAAACAGCTGAAGATGGACTATCACAGGTGGCAAATTGGCTTCAATCAAATCTCCTGACACTAAATACTTCTAAGACAAATTACATCTGTTTTGCTCTATACGACAACTCACAGCCAAACGATAATTTCAATATAAGAATACATTATTGCATTAGTGATATCAAAATCAACTGTCTCTGTCCTGTAATTGAGAAAGTTCGTAACACGAAATACCTGGGGGTCATTATTGACCAAAGACTATCATGGCACCAACAAATAAACAATGTAGCTAACAGGATGAGGAAGCTTTCGTGGATGTTTAGAACTTTGAGACACGTAACTTCTCCTGAACTTTTAATGAAAATATACACTGCCTTAGCTCAACCAATCCTAACTTACGGTATACCTATCTGGGGAAACGGGTCAAAAACTAAATTCAAGGAAGTAGAAAGAGCTCAAAGATGTCTACTTAAA